CATTCTCTTGGACCTGAGGAAGGGTTTACAAGAGAACAAGGCAAATGACATTATGTGAATACAGTTTGAACAAGCGCACACACGGATAACCCGGTGCAGGAAATAACACAACTTCCCCCCCTTGTTTTCATTGCATTTTATGTTTATTTATTTTTGCTTTCATAATGCATATTCTGTTCACGCAAAAGGTGCAAAGGACAGGAAGCAGGGGTTTAACTTGGCTGATGAAAAATCAAGCAGGGGTGACATTTCTAGTTCCATGAACAACCTACAACTAGGAGAACTTAAACGTCACAGCGGGTACCACCGAGCGCGCCCAGCTTCACAGCTGTCTCCTCTTGGGACCTTTGGCTAGGTGAGAGAAGCTTTGAAGACAGTGGCCTCTAGTGGACTTTGAGAAGTGGCTTTAAAAAAACAAGGTGGTTTTTTTTTGTTGTTGTTTTGTTTTGTTTTGTTTTTTGAATCATGGTAGCTGCATCACAAAAGCTCCAATCAAGAGGGTGGTAAAAAGAAGGCACAGATCATTGCAAATACCAGGTTTTCTCTTTCTCTTTTTTGTAAATATACCATCATATATAAGCTAAAATTTATCTTACGGTGGCGGGGTTGGCTGGCAGGAGAAGGGACGGGTCGGACCTAAAATTGCATATGTAATAGAATCCTAGAGGGGACACAAAGCGAGGCAGCTTTCTGCCTGAAGCAAAAGAATGGGACGCTCGCTCTGGACTAGGTGTAATACAGACACTGGGAGGATCTGTGACAAAACACGATTAAAAAATCATAAAATTATAAAGCTTGTAAACGAATAATCTGAAATTACATTTTATTAATGGAAAATATCATCAAAATAGTACCACTATGGACTAAACTGCCTGAGTTTTCGTTTCGCATGAGATCTCATAGTAAAAAAGCCTTTAGCACAATCTGCTCTAAGTCACAACCAGTGCCATGCCCAGGATTATACCATGGGGAAGAGTATCCTCTTGGATGGAATTTGTGTTGTGCTATCAAGACTTCTGTGCTAATCTTTCAAACAGGGACACGCGGAGGCAAACCTTTAATCTTTTGGCACAAGGTTATTTTGGCTGGGGCGGAAAATTTGAGTCTTGGACTCAGGATGAATAACGTGACATTTCATTTATCAAGTATTCATTTTGATTGAAGAGTTTTCTTTATGTCATTAACTTCCATCTATAAAGGAAAAACAAGAGCCGAACAAAATCATAATGAGTTCGCTGGTTTGGGAGAAGCTGAAAGATAATCAACCTGGTCGAATGAAAGAAAATAATCAACTTCACACTTTTCAAGGTGGAATGGGTGAAGTGATGTCTGAACGACGAGCAGACGAGGCCAGAAGTGACAGAAACCTAAAGAACGGGCACGCAGACGCTAGGAAATGGTGGGTGTGTGCCTTCTCAGGCTCCCAGTAACCAAAATTGGTCAGAAGCAGCAAGAATTCCAGGGTCCCGGCCAGGGGGCAGAGCAGGCTGTCCCAATGTGCTGGACCACCTAGCGGTGTTGGAAGGCAGCTCTGGTCGGGCCCAAGCGGGTGTCTATCAGCACCCCCAAAGTGATGAGAGGCGGTTACCTATCCTTTCTTTAAGCAGCATGGGTCTCAGGCACCACCAAGGACACCAGCTAGACGAAAGCTCAAAGTCTGCCTTCAGCCTTTTGCAACTCCTGCATATTCTCTGCCATTTGGTAACGGCTGAGTTGGCTCAGGGGATGGTGGGGGACAGGGCTCTGATGCCCTGGCAGGACCGACATGGCTCTCGGTGAGAAGTAAAGAGATGAAAAGCAAGTGCCGAGTGTGGACAGCTGTGGTCCTTGGAGTTCCAATGACAGAAGCCAGCTGGCAATGGGGTCCCCCCAGCACCATGCCCTCTGGCAGTTACCATAGTGTGGCCTTTGGAAATTGGAGGGAACTGTCCACAGAGGAGATGTTTCAGATAAATTCCAAATGAGAAACCCAACTGGGGGCACATTGACTCATGCCTCCCTTCCCCAAGACTTCCTGGATGGCAGGAGAGGATGTGAAGTGAGCCTACACAGTTCTAAGAAAATGGCCACAGGAAGCGCATCTGAATCTGCAGAGAAGTAACAATCATCTACTTTCAAGATGAAGCCCTGAGACGGCCCCCACCCATGACTGAGCCTCTCTCGAGGCAGCAGGACCCCGAGGGACCCACCTGCAACCGAAGCCGGATTTTCTTCTCTTCATCCAACTCGGACAGTAACTGCTTAATCTCTCGTCTGAAAAGCAAATGGCCATGAAATTAAACAAAAGCTCAGACTTCTGCAATAAGAGATAAGAAGCCTCTAACCACTACAAAATCTATCTGAGCCGTTTACAACAAACACGCGGACACAACATCATGTTCTTTCTTTGCACTGCTACTGCTTGGCATTTACTGCAGACAGAAAGGCTCGCTATTATTTCTGGGTCCCCCAAATATGTGGCCATCAAACAGGAGGTCTGGAATGACCTTTGAGATCCATTAGTCCAAGCTTCTCCTAAAAGGAGAAGATAGGGAAAGTGAGGCCAGAGAGGTGGCCTGACTTGCCCAGTGGCTAGACTCCAGGTATCCCGGCTCAGATTCTGTCGCCTTCCCTCTCGCTGGCCTTTTGTTATAGAATCAATGGTCTTTAAATGTATTTACATAATGATTTTCACTGCAGATGTTTTTGTCACCCCACGTATGTTCTACCTTCACAGAGTTTTAAATTAACAAAAGGTTGCTGGTATGTTTTCACGGATTCCCACAAAATCTTACAAAGAGTAACATCTGAAATCTTGGAGTTAAAATGGCTGAACTAACTATATGGTAATCAGGTCACAGAGAAAGTAGACATGAGTTAGGACATGCAGTCTAATGCCCTTTACAACATTAAATAATGAAGTGGAACGAAGTTAATCATCTTGCAAACTCAGGACTCTCTGCTTAGGACGACACTGCAACCATCACCACTCTAGTCAGAGAACTGTGTTGTATTTTAGGGTAGCAGATGCTCCATTTTACATGTACATTTTTACAAACTGGATTGGAAAATCAAAAAACAAGGACTGCAGAGACACTATACTAACTAAGGTATCAGTTATATTGCATTCGCTCACTTGAGACGAGCCCCGTGATGGTCCCTGTACGTGGCTCAGTGTCCCGGCCCGGCTGCCAACACACCGGGTTCTCAGGCACGAACGGGTTGTGACTCGTTACTGTATTTACTCAAGCCCACGCCACGCACCTCTATGTCAGCAGGCTCTACTTAGAGCTCGGGAGAGAAGTAGCTGAGATCCTAAGCAGATAGCATGATTCCAGAAAGACTAGGGCAGGCGGAGCCTTGAGTGCAGCAGGTCGGAGGAGTCAGTTGGGGAAGCCCAGGGCAAAGAAAGCCACTAAGTCTTGAACTGGCAAAAAAGGGCCTAAGCCTGTGAGGAGGAAGGAAGATGGGGGGATTGCTGGAGAAGAGCCAGGGCAGGAGCATGGACGTGAGGAGCAGCACGTGTGGGGAGGAGGGGAGTCAGGAGAGACTTCCCCTGAAGACTGAGAGGGAAGGGACACTTAGAGAGCTAGGGACCTAGGGCCGGAGGTTTTAGGGACCCAGTGGCCCCGGGCAGGACGGCTGTGAGAGGCAGGCATGGGACAGGGGCTTCTCTGACATGTCGATTCAAGAAGACATGGGCTGGGGAGGGACAGTTGTGGGCAACTATGCCCGGGCTTCACAGTGGGCAGGAGCTCGGGGTGGAGAGACCCCAAAGCCTGGTGTGTCTTCCTTCTGAGGCAAGCACGGACCATTTCTGATGTTCCCGGTCCCTCTCAGAGGATCCAAAGGGCTGAAGCCCTGGATCCGGGCTGGTCTGACCCAATGATGGTCCTCTTCAGAAGGCCGAGCACCAGCGCTCCGGGATGTCCTGGGACCATGGGATCACTGTCTAGGCAGGAGACACATGCCACCTGGATATGGATGGGGCCTGTGGTTCCCCAAACCTGTAACCCGCAGAACCAGAGAAGAGCTGGGGACTTTCAGGAGTGAAAGGCAGCCTGGCTGGCCCTGAGAGAGCCTCTCTAGCTCCATCCTGCTGATTCTGCATACTTATTTGATGGGCATCTTCCAGGTGGGGGGTTAGGCCAGGGGACCCCAATTTCATACGGCACCTCCCAGCTGGAGTGGAGCAGAACCTGAACAGAGCCACAGTGCTCAAATTGAGTTCCTCATAACCCTTGTCCTAGGGTGCTCTAGAAAAAAGGTATGTTTCAGAAAAATAGCGTACATTATCCTCTCCATCTTCCCGATGTACAGCGAAGGCTCTCTGAGCTGTCCTTTAGATAAGAAATCAACTATGTTTAACCCAATACTCCCCAAAGTATCTGGCCACAAGACATACCAGGGCCCTCTAGCCCCGTGCAGGGCGGCAGGTGCCCATCGCCCACCACTGCCCTGGGACCTCCCCACCCAGGAGGCCAGGCGCCAGGGCTGCTCCATGTGCCCGGGACCCTACCCGTACTGTTCCGTCTGCTGCACGGCTCTGCTCTTGGTGATCCTAGATCGTTTTCCAAAATCCTACTCAGGAAACACCTCTATAGATCCCTCCCCTGCCCCAATTCCTCCAAGAAAGAGTTAACTGTTCCCTAAACTCTGAGCCTCAGTTTACTCAGATAAGAACTTCCTGACTTCTAACCATTTTACTGTTTCTGTCACCGCATACAGTATCCTGGGTAATATTTATGTGTGCTCTTTATTTTTGCTTACAGGTCTTTCTCCTCATCTAAGTGCTCCTTGAGGACCGGGGATGTGGAGAGCGTGTGTAGGCATGCATGGAGAGAGCCCCGAGTCTCATGGAGAGAACATCTTGCTGAGTGTAAAGTCTTGGGTTTAAAGATTCCCTATATCTCTGTCATCCATTTCAGCCCCTAAATGCAAGCCAATTACTTCATCAGACAGCTAACTGAAGAAATTGCGATTTTTCTGGTGCTAGAGGAAAAGCTGGCTGTCGGGCTTATGAGGAAGTGGTAGATGCACATACTGTATTTTATGGGGATTTAAAGATCTTTCTTTTTAGCAGCCTGCTGAGTGCACTAGTCCTGGTAAGTGACTCTACCGTACGCCCCGTGGCCAGCCTGTGCCCTCCTCGTATGCAGCAGATCTGGTTACACAAGGAGCTGAGTGAAATGAAGCCTCTCAGGTTCAAACCCACCTCACCCCTGCTGCCACCACCGTGGGGAAGCGGGCCACCCACTCGGGCAGGCAGGAGACCCAGGCTTGCAGAATGAGGCCCTGGCCCAGCAGAGAGCAACTTGGGAGGTGGACGAAGAAGGGGCCCCAGACACTCACTTCTGCTGGTCCTTCATGGTCTCGATGATGCTCCTCAGCTCGCGGACCTGCGTCCTTAGTTCCTCCACGGCCGCCTGGCTGCTGGCCGCAGACTCCATCTTTGGTTTTCCTTCTGAGCCAAATAGAGACGGGGAGTTGGCTCTGTGTCCGGCTGTTCCCAAAGAGGATGACAGCGGGGAGGATGTTGCCGAGGACAGAGGGGCTGGTCCACCACCACCACCTGCAGCCATGGTCCCTGGCTTGGGCGGCAGGGATGCTTTGTTGTCAGACACCTGTGATGAGGGAAGGCAGAGAGGATTCAGGCCAGGGGTCCGTGTTCCCATCTATATCCCCGTACCTGCCTCCTGAAACACACTCGTCACTCACCCCTTCACCCACAAGCCCCCGAGGGCCTACTTGGCACAGACATCCCCCTTCAAGAGCCTCCCCCTACGTGTTTTAAATTCGACCGCCCATCTGGACAGGTAGTTCCTAACTGGTTTGACGTACAAGTCCAGAGGCCCACGTGCTTGCTAGGCTCTGCAAACTCTGAAGTGAGCAAAACATTTTCCTAGCTCCCAAGAGCTTAGAACACAGTAAGGTGCAGACAGACTAGCCGACACACTGCAGATGGGGGGCGGGGGCGGGGGAGTCTGCACACAGGGAGGTCAGCACAGAGAGCCACGGAAGTACACAACAGGGACCAACCAGCCCAGAGGGAAGGCGTCAGGGAGCTGCTGGCCGTCCCATCCTGGAGGAGGAGGACTAGGAGGCAGCCAGAAGAGGAAGGGTGATTAGAGAGAAAGGTTCTAGGAGGGAGGGAATGGGCTCGGCAAAGGCATGAGGCACATTCATGGCAAGTGGTCACTCAGCAGCTAGGACGGCACGGGCGGAGGGGTGCAGGCTGGGGACGTGAAGCAGGCTTGTGGAAAGGGGTAAAAACACCCTGCATGAAGCTAACGATGACTCTGGCCGCAGAAGGGCCTAAAGGTGGGCAGGCCTGGAGGCCAAGGGAATTGCTGGGAGGTTCTCCTACAACGAAAGCTAGGAATGGTGGGTGCTTGACAGACGGTGGCCAAGGGAATAGAGCAAAGACAGCTCTGAGAGATGCGGCGAAGGCAGGCTCAGCTGAGCGAGAGATGCAGTGCCTGGCCTCAGGGAGCAGACCCCCCACAGGAGGATGTGGTTCTGGACGGGCTGCAGGGCCACGGGCGGGGATGGAAGAAGCAGGCATGGAGCTTATACCTTTCATGGCGGGAGGAACAGCCCGAAGGCCCAGAAAACAATTTCACTTTTGACACACTGAGTTTCAGGAGCCCGAGGTATAGCCAAGGAGACATGTCCAGGGGGCAGAGCCAAGGAATGAAAAAGTGAGCTGGGCCAGAGAAAGCACCTGAGGAAGCGGCGCCATGGGGGAGAAGAACACAGAATCAGGGGAGAAGAGTCCCAGTGATGGGACCTGGGGACTCGCTGAATTGAAGAGGTGGGAAGAGAAGGGAGAGACACTGGGGACTGGGACAGAGCGCTGAGTGAGGAGATGAAGCAAGGCCAGAAGAGGGGCATGGGTTATAGAAGTCCCCTGAGGGGTTTCCAGAAGGAAAAAAAGGGTCAGATAAGTGGGTCAAGGGCGCTGGGAGGAAAACAGGGCTTGGGGGGCATTTGGTGCAACAAGGGAGACTGAGGTCTGATCACAGCAGGTCAGCACCTGAATAGGAGGAGAGGGGCGTGGCCTGCAAGTTTAGAACTCTCTTTCGGGAAACCTGGCTAAAAATGGAAGTTGGGAGAAAGAGAAAGCGTTCACGGAGAAGCCTCAGGAGGAGAGAGAATCATCCAAGGGTTCTGCTTGCTTCAAAGATGGGGGAGATGCTGAGCTGGATGATATCCTAAGGGAAAGACCAATGCAGGGCCAAGCTGGAGACAGAGGAGACAGGTGGGGGAGGCCTGATGGAGCAGTGTCCTGCCCCAGGAGGAGGCTGAGAGGGCACAGGAAGTGGGACAGTCACGGGGCGGGAGGGAAGACGGGCATGGGGCCGCCCAGGGGAGGAGGCGGCAGCAAGGGAAGGTGAGATCCTGAGACCTAGGGCAGGTGAGGAAGAGGGCAAGCAGCAGACAGGACGCTGGGAGGCGAGGGGCTGAGCGATGGGGAAGTTGAGGCTGGTGGCGAAGCTGGGCAACGCAGCTGGGACTCGTCCAGCAGCAGGTGCCCAGGGCAAGAGCCAAGAAGGGGCTGGCTGGCATGGTGAGGAGGGAGAGTGTGGATTCCGGCTGTGCTAGAGGGAGGGACTGGGCAGAGTGAGCCAGAAGCAGATGGGCCATCATTCCCAGCCTCTCTGCCCGCCTCTTCTCTGCCAAGTTACCATTGAGGAAAAGTGCTTTCTGCTGCCAGGGACAGCGACCCGCCATCCCGTGCTTATTGCTGTAGGAGTTGTAGTAAGAGGGAAGAGGGACTGACATTTATGGAGCGCCGGACGTCGGCTAGATGACTGAAACGGGGCTCGGCTGGCATACCCTTTTGACAGAGCAGCAAACTGAGGCTTAGAAACATGGTCGAGAAGTTCCCCAAGCCTCGCAGCGAATAGCTGGCAGGCCTGGGCTTCAATCCCCTCCCCTGCCGGAGCCCTGTACCGCGACGGTGGCTGCCTGAGTGCGACGATTCACACTCTCCTGTCATTACTTTCTTTGCGTCTTTCCTATCCCGGGGTTCATACCTTTCCCCACTTCCCACTCTGCATCCTCCCGTGCCTCTTCCAACCTACCAACGTCCTCACAGACTGACTTCCAGGCAACTCTTCCATCAATGCCCCTTTCAGCATTTCCTACATAACCCTCTCTCCCAGCCCACTGCAGCTGACAGGGACTTCTGCAAGCCCTCACAGAGTATCGGCCACTATACACCCTGACCACATTAGTTCAGGTGGAATTTACAGAAGCAATAAACAACATGACAACTCCCAGGAAGGGCAATGGGCTAACGGGACAGAACTTTGAGAACCTGAAACCTGAAGAGCCACTGCCCACCAGTAGATGTCGCTACAGAGACACCCCACGGCAGGGCGAGCGCAACTATAGTATACGTAGGGTCATCAGAAAGAGCGGGGCTAAATCCAATTTCTGCAAATGGAACCCTTTCATAAAGGAAAAATGCTTCAATTTTGTGAATAACTACCATTGATGTGTTTTATAGGATCACAGTTTTGTTTACCAGACCGGGTTTTTAAGAAAATCTAGATGTATGTGTAAATTCTTACGTGTGCGAAAAGGAAAATCCTACATACCCTGTGATTTCTTTGTGTTAATCCCTGGTTCAAGTGCCTTAAAAAAAGGACTGCAATTTTCTGCTGTTAGACAGAAAGCAGTTGCTAATGTGTATAGAAAATAATTCCAACTGACTGGGTTCTCTTAACACCAGAAAATACATTCAGAGGATGAACGGGACTAGTAAGTATAGGGTATCCTTCAAAAGCCACACGCAGTTGCTACCCACTGTCTGCTTTGTTTCTCATGAGCCAGTAACTTAAAATAGCTATACCATTCCCTGGGCACGCAATGAAACGAAAATGTTTTTAGAGTCTAAATTGATCGTAATAAATGAATCCAAATCAGCTTCTCTTTGAGGGACCCCCGTTAGTCATTCAAAGTTGTGTGCTGCCAAACATAATCAGTGACATCATCAGTTTTGAACACAAAGGCCAAGATGTGTGAGCAGAGTACACAGCATTCAATGTACGTGGTGCATTCTTTCTCCACACCTCTAGGCTCTTCAAGCTGCCTTGGTTGTGGTGGTGGCGTGTGAGGGTGTATGTTTATGTGTGGCAGCTGGTATGAAGAAGAGATCAAACCACAAGAGAAAACATGGAAAATCAACCACTAAACTTGTGTCTCAGAGATTCTGTCCAGTTTTGGGGACTTCGTAACATGCCTCTGGGATTTTGATGACTAAAGTAATAACTGTTACTGAAGAGTGACAAAAACTTGCATTGTCTGTTGCAGTGGACTAAGTGTTTGTGTCCCCCCCGCCTCCCAGTTCATACGTGGAAATCCTAACCTCCCCCCAACATCTTGTGATGGGATTAGGAGGTGGGACCTTTGGGAGGTGATTGGGTCATAAGGGTGCAGCCCTCATGAACGGAATTAGTGCCCTTAGAAAAGAGACCTCAAAGAGTTCCCTCTCCCTCTTTCTACCACGTGAGGACACAACGAGAGGTTGGTGGTCTGCAACCCTGAAGAGAACCCTCACCAGGGGCGCCTGGGTGGCTCAGTTGGTTAAGCGACTGCCTTCGGCTCAGGTCATGATCCTGGAGTCCCGGGATC